TTGGGGAAGGGGTTGGAATGGGGGCAGAGAAGGGGTGGGGTTGGGGCGGGGCCGGGGGCGGGGCAGGGGCGGGGCCGGGGGCGGGGCAGGGCCGGGGCCGGGGCCCCGTGGAGTGTCCTCTTTTTTAAATGTTTGAATATGGTAAGCCTAGTCTAAGGTAGAGTGGTCAAAGGTCGGGGTGGCCATGGGAAATGGCCGAGATAGATCTCCCCGGGCTGCAATTTACAAGTTGGGCAACCTTTGGTATGTAGCAGGTGTTAGACATTGGCAGTGCAGCAAAATGCCTAGGCCACTGCCAGAACTGAAATATTGATAATTTTGCTTATTGCCAAAAGCAGCTAAGCTAGTAGGCCTTTGTAGCAGCCTTAGGAAAACTAAGGCAAAGCTGGAAGGGTCAACGATCACAAGGAGTGAGCCTCACTCTGCACCATCCCTAACATGCTGAGATAAGCGTCTGTAAACAACAGGAAGTTGGGTTTAAGGAAACCCAGGCAACAGAGGCTGAGAGAGGAGCTTGACTGTCGGGGTCAGCAGTTCTGAATGATGATACTACCAAGAAGCAGCAGTGACTGGAACAGTTGCTAGCATTTTTTTGGCTCTTGAAATTGTGGGTTCATTCAAGTCCCACACCAAGACCTGAACTTCTTTGAAAGGCTGAAACTGCAATGCTTGGGAGACGTGTTCCTCTATTAGAGGTGTCTTCTTTATTCAACCCCGCCCCCCCCAACCCCAAACACACACACTCTCAAACACACAAACAAACACAACCTGGACTCCAGGGATTCAGATAAAATCCCAGGAAGGAAGATTCTGAATGTTAGAGACAGGAATGAGATAACAGAACCAGCCTCACAACATGTGATATCTGGAGCCACTGAATCAGAAGTGCTAGACAGCAATGGTGGAATTCTCCCTTGTGCATAGACACAAAGGAAGGGTAAGGCCACCTCAAGAATGACCAAGGTCAGTGCACTCCCCACATCATGAGCCCACCTAGGAATCCGAGCATTTCCTATGTATTTTAGATGTCACCAGCCTCTACTAGAAGAAAGCAGTTTTCAAAGATTTTGTTGTTATTGACATATTTAATTTTAGGTGAAAGTCATCATGTCACTCTTAAGCTTTCCTGCTCTGTTGGAGAACTACAGCAGTAATTGCCCTTCATATTCAAAAGCATCAGTAATAAAAATGACACATTAAATACTTATCTTGCATCATTACAGATTTGCCAGCCGGCTAATGTTTACCTAGACACATGACAAGTGAACTCTGGCCTTGTAAATAATGATAAACAAGCAAATGTACAGCATATGGGAGAGCTGCATTGGACATATAATCAAACAATCTCTGAAATTACAGTGCCATGGAGAATCCTGTCTTTACCAGCTCATCTCAGAATAAAGGACCCTGCTTTTAAGCATCTCTGTTATATTTGTGCTTTATAATAGGACACCACCATTTTCTGTCCTAGTAATTGAAATGTTATTGCAAGCTAAATCCCATTGTCCCCAATCCTGAAATCAATAGGAGTTTTGCCACAATCTTTAATGGGAGCTTCTGGTTGACTGTGAAGACCTGGAATCAGATCCTCAGTTGATGTAAATTGGCAAATCAGTGCCAAGGCTCTGACCTCTTGTTTTCATTCGGGTTTCACTGGGTCTGTCATTGGGTATGAGGATGGAACATGACTAGCCTAAGGACACATCAGAGTCATTAGCTTCCATTAGGAGAGGAAGGATGGCCATGTGGTTAAGCACACATTACTGGGAGTCATGAGATCTGGGCTCTGTTCCCAGCTCAACTATAGACTTCCCATGTGACCTTGGACAAGTCATCTCAGCTCTCTGTCTCGGGTTTCTCATCTGTGAAACAAAGTTAATGCTTTTATAGTACAATAACTTTGTGATGTGTTTTGAAATTCTCAGCTTGAAGTCACTACTACTATACAAAGCTAGTACTATTATTTATTACTCCTGGGGGACTTCTGCACCAAAAAATTAAAAATTCTGTGACAAAACATTAAAAAACCTGCATATAATATTTTAAAATTCTGCAAAATTCAGCATATTTTATTTGTCAAAATAACACAATATAATCACATGAGTTTCAATTATTTTTGATAATTTATTTCTAAATACCTGTCAGCATGTATGTCTGTAACAATACAGACAACAAAAAAGATTCAGGAAATGTTTTTTGACAAATAAATTCCTTACTAGATATATTAATCCAGAACTCTGAGTAATAATTCATTTAAACTACAATATGGAACCGTATTTCCCCAACTCCTCAGAAGCAGTGCAAAGGCTTGGGGGAGTCAGGGGTAATGGAGGAGCTGAGGGAGAACGAAGTAAATTGCTGGGAAGGAGCCTGGGTGTGACCTTGGAGGGTTGCTGGGTATGAGTGGGAAAAGTATGGAACAGGGTTTTTTGGGGGGGTGGGGAGGGATTGTTAGGGAACTTTCCCTATGCAAATCCTGGCTGACCCCTAGCCTCTCCCATTCAGTCAGGCACATCTGCCCCTGTCCCCTTGTGTCCTTGCACCCCCATCCACGTGTCCCTCCACCCCCACTCAGACACCCACTCCCCCCATCCTCATGTGGCCCTGCACCCTCTCCCCTTGTCCCTATGTGGCTCTGTACCCCCTCCCCTGTCTCCATGTGTTTCTGTGCCCCCACCCAGCAACTCCCCTATCCCTATGTGTCCCTGTATCCCCTCATAGAATCATAGAATATCAGGGTTGGAAGGGACCTCAGGAGGTCATCTAGTCCAACCCCCTGCTCAAAGCAGGACCAATTCCCAACTAAATCATACCAGCCAGGGCTTTGTCAAGCCTGACCTTAAAAACCTCTAAGGAAGGAGATCCCACCACCTCCCTAGGTAACCCATTCCAGTACTTCACCACCCTTCTAATGAAAAAGGTTTTCCTAATATCTAACCTAAACCTCCCACACTGCAACTTGAGACCATTACTCCTTGTTCTGTCACCTGGTACCTCTGCGAACAGTCTAGATCCATCCTCTTTGGAACCCCTTTCAGATAGTTGAAAGCAGCTATCAAATCCCCCCTCATTCTTCTCTTCTGCAGACTAAACAATCCCAGTTCCCTCAGCCTCTCCTCATAAGTCATGTGCTCCAGACCCCTAATCATTTTTGTTGCCCTCCGCTGGACTCTTTCCAATTTTTGCACATCCTTCTTGTAGTGTGGAGCCCAAAACTGGACACAGTACTCCAGATGAGGCCTCACCAATGTCGAATAGAGTGGAATGATCACATCCCTCAATCTGCTGGCAATAACCCTACTTATACAGCCCAAAATGCCGTTAGCCTTCTTGGCAACAAGGGCACACTGTCTACTCATATCCAGCTTCTCGTCCACTGTAATCCCTAGGTCCTTTTCTGCAGAACTGCTGCCTAGCCATTCAGTCCCTAGTTGGTAGAGGTGCATGGGATTCTTCCGTCCTAAGTGCAGGACTCTGCACTTGTCCTTGTTGAACCTCATTAGGTTTCTTTTGGCCCAATCTTCTAATTTGTCTAGGTCCCTCTGTATCCTGTCCCTACCCTCCAGCGTATCTACCATTCCTCCGAGTTTAGTGTCATCTGCAAACTTGCTGAGAGTGCATTCCACGCCATCCTCCAGATCATTAATGAAGATATTGAACAAAACCAGCCCCAGGACCGACCCTTGGGGCACTCTGCTTGATACCGGCTGCCAACTAGACATGGAGCTATTGATCACTACCCGTGTCCCTATGTGTCTTTGTGCCCCCACTCAGCCACCCTCTGTCCATATGTAGCTCTGCACTCCCTCCCCCATCACCATGTGGCCCTGCACCTCCCTCTCCCCTGTGGCCCTGTGCCTCCACTCCCATTCAGCCCCTGCCCCAGTCTGTCCTCCCCCACTATCCCTTATGAGCCCCTGTCTGACCCGCCCCCAAATACCCCACACTGTCTGTCTCACCATAGTCCCTGTCTCGTGACCTGGCCTTACAGGTGCTATGAAGAAGGCAAGCTCTTTCTCTTCCCTAGCTGGCCGGGAGCTGCTGCTGTGTTCTATTGGCACAGAAGCCTCTGCTGTGCAAGAGGCGAGCTGCAGCAATATTTCGGCAGCTTTTTTCTGCGCAAAAATAATTTAAAATATGCATGGCTCTTTAATTATGCACACGTGCAGTAGCGCACAATTCCCCCAGGAGTAATTTATTAATACTCTATTATTCCAATAGGCATGGGAGGACCCAGAAGAGTTCAAATTCTCATTCCGGTCCTCTGTTGAATGCAAACAATAGTACTCGCACAACCTTAACTGCCTGCTGCTGGTCCTATGGCTAGTGTGCTGGAGAAGTATTCAGGGCTCTAACCAAGTCCTAGAACTAGCAAATTCCTGACCATAGTAAATGTTTATGTTCAGATTGTTATACGGGATAAGAGATTGATGGATGACTTAATGATGACTATGTCACCAGAAATCCCACCTTAACCAGAAGTCCCAGCTCTTGCTATCACTGGAAGTCTCACTTTAATCAGAAATAGCAGCACAGGATAGAATGATGTAACAGGAAATGATATTATGACCTAAACCTATGCCCTTCAGGAGTCTGATCTAAACCCTTGTGAACCTTAACCCCAGCCAGAAGGCCTGCTTACCTAGGAAGGTAAACCAGTAGGAGCTGATGTTGGCCCAGACTCCTTAAACCAGAGCCTCATCAGTTGCACAAAAAATTGGAGACCGCTGTGGAAAACCTGCAAAAGAAAAATGTGCCATCCCCTGTTATAAATATTTGTGGTCAACAGCCAGCTTCGGGTAGCTACCCTATGCCTGAAGAATGGGGACAGACGTGGAAAAAGGTGACCCTACAAAATTAAAAGATGAAATGGTGTCCACTGCATTGCAACCATCACTGTATAACAAAAGCCAGGGTCTGGTAAAACCTAAACCTAGATTGATGACCGTCAGAACAGGACAAGTAAGTGCACAGGAGGGGAAGTAGCAAACGATACTGTCACTGAATTGTTAAATCAGATGAAGTAAAAAATGGAATGGTTCACAGAGCACATTAGGAGACAGGAGCTGCCACTCAATGGCAGGGAAGTAAATAAAAAAGAATTTCAAAGTGAAAAACGAAGATTAAGTGGGTTAACACCTATAATTAATATGTGAACACATGGAGCTGCCCACATTGGCTCAGGGCCTACATTTTCTGCCATATTCTGAACAGTGCTGAGCACACAGATGGTGCCCAGTGAATAATACAAATCATGACAATAATCGTCGACTTTATGGAGTCTGTAGAGGCAATTTCTGTTCTTTGTTCTGGAATTGGCCTGAATACAGCAGAAACCCTAAGAATTTGAGGCATAAGCACATCTGATACTCATATGACACTTTCTCATTCCTTCCTTTTCTCAAACTCAGAACAAAAAGTGACAAAACAGTTTTCAGTTAAAATGTAAAATTGCCCAGCAGCCATTGCTCTACAGCCCAGCCTCGGGCAGAGCCTGCCACCCCTTGGGGGTTTAGTGATCTCCTCTCACATGACTCTCACGCTCTCTCTCTCTTTCTTCATCCTTCCTGACCTCTGTGCTGCTTTTCATGCTGTCAACCATGACAGCCACGCCAATCTCCTGGGACCATGTGCTGGAGTCTCAGAGAACTGGCCGCCTTGGTTTTGCTCCCAACTAGCAGAGTCTTTTTTTTTTTGGCAGCATGCAGCAGAGGGATAGGCTGGTGCCATGGATACAGAGCTAGCCCTCAGAGACCTGAGTCCTACTTCCTCCACGGATTTCCTGTATGACCTCAGGCCAGTGCCTTAGGGACAGAGGTTCAAAGGTTTTTAGGCACCCAAATATGCAGCTACGCATCTTGTGGAGTTTACAAAGCACCTAACCTTCTAAGCGCTTTTGAAAAATCTCACTAGATGCTGAAATACCTTTGAAAATCAAGCCTTTAGTCTGTGTGTGCCTCAGGGTCTCATCTGTACAATGGGGATAACAGCACAGTTCTACCTCACTGAGGGGCTGTGAGGAAAAATAGGTTAGACATTGTAAGGTGCTCAGATACCATGGTGATGGGGCCACATAAGCAGTGCTTAATTTGTGCCA